TTACTAGCTAGTAACTTGATCTTCATAAGAATTTTTAACTAATAATACATAATTACATCTTAATTTTAGTATTAGAGTATTATGACGTAGATGACATGGTGTAAGAACAATTCTTTTGTAAAGACTCTAAAAAAAGACTGCTAATTGATAAATAAATAAAAAAAGTATTTTAATTTTTAATAAAATAATTAAAAATAAAAATATAAAAGTGTGAATCCAAATTAAAAACGTAAATTTTTCTATTATTAGAGTAAAAAATAGAAAAATTTCTTAAGCCTTTATGTGGCATTGAGAGGTACTTACAAAAAATGCATCAAGAACCTAAATCTATAACATGAGAAATGCTAGCAACACTCCTTTTAATATACTCACTTTTATTAATTAGAATTTGTTGAAAACTATACAATCAGGAGAGGTAATCATTAAATAAAGTTTGAGACTCGTCAATTTTGTGTTTTCAATAAATTTCAACCAATTAGAATAAGTGTGTTTAAAAGAATGTGTTAGATAGTGTATGTTGCGGGTTACATCAATTGTCCCGTGGCGGAGGTTAGGTGGGCCAAGTCACTGTCGAATCATGGCGCTTAGGCTGCTGCGCTCTTAAGTAAAAAGAGTTGCACCCTGACTATCAGCTATAGCTTTTGGCCTAGTGGTAAGTGTTTGATCCAACAATTGGTATCAGAGCCAAGGTCATGAGTTCGATACCCAGCGGGGCAATTGCTAAGGGGGAGATTGTTGCGGGTTGCATCAATTGTTGGCGGAGGCCTAGTGGTAAGCGCTCGATCCAACAGAGTATATTAACATTTCTCTTATATCGATATATAAAGAAAATACTTATCTTTATACGGTCTTAGTCTTTACTTTTTATTGAAGCATTACATATTTTAATTGCTTAGGAAAAAAACTAGTAATTAAGATATTTTTAATATTTTTTCTTACACAATTAGCAACATACTCACACTCTCTCAATAACTACCCACTTTATTATTTATTCTTTTATTTTATTTTTATTTTTATTTTTTAAAAACTCTAATAGGTCATAAACCTCCTCACATTCTTTCAATAACTAACTACCCACTTCATCATT